GCTGCTCCATGCGGAGCTCCGCGCTGCTCCGCAGGTTCCGCGCTGCTCCATGCGGAGCTCCGCGCTGCTCCGCAGGGCTCCGCGCTGCCSGAGGGACGTGGCGGGAGGTGGCGGCCCAGAGCGCAGCGCTGTGGATGCGACGCGGGTCGCCCGCACCAGCGCTCGCTTCCCCGTTAAAAGCTCCTGTTTAGTTTTCTCTGCGGGTAGCTCAGCAGCTCCCGTGTCTGCTAGGGACGATGTCAACCCGAGTTGCTCCTTCTGATTAAGGGCGTTGATGGGACAAGACGGCATGGAAAGGATGCGGGAGCAGCCTCTGGATGTGCACCCATGGGCTCCTATGGAAGCACCTGGTCAGGATGGGGCTCGTGGGTAAGGACTGGGACCAGGTGGCCCCAAGGATAGTTCTGCAGAGCCAGAGCGGCTCAGGAGGAGAGGAAAAGGGGAAAATGCCCCTCCCCACATGAACCATCCCCAGGTCACTGGCTATATAAAAATGAAGAGATTAAAACTAAAACTAAAAATAACAATAACAATACAAAAAACACCCACTGCCTCTGGTCAGGTTGAACTGAATTCACTTGTTGCAGGGATGATGCAGGAGGTTGCCTGGTCATTTGAGAAGTTAAGGTCCGGATTAAAAAGCAGGTAATTAGATTTTCCCCACCACGCAGGATCAGCAAATACTTGCACATCATTCCCATTAGTAGGTATGGCTGGATTTAGATAACGGCCCGTTGTGGTTTTGCTGTGGCCGGGGTTGCGTCGTGTGACATTCCTGCTTGTGCTGCTGTGGTGTGATCAGGACTGTGCTCGAGTTTCGACCTGGCCAAAGCTGCTCTTCAACATCACCCACCTCTGCTGAACGAGCTCCTCACTCCGAGGTGCTTGGGTCGAACTCGGCCTACCAGCCTTGCCAGCCTCATGGATCCAGCATGTAAAATATTCGTGTGTGATATATATATATATATATATACATATATATGTGTGTGTGTGTGTATACATGCTCTCTGTGGACGCTTGTTTGTGCCGTTTATCCAGGCCTGCTCTTGGAAGAGACCTGGACATGGGGAGGGCAGGCGCATCGTGCACCTATGCGTTTGCACCAAACCTTCTGTAAGTGATGCTATAGCCGTTGCTAAGCAACAAGTGATGGTTGCTATAACCAAAATCCAGCTCTTAAAGCGCTAACATCTTGAGTTGTTTTTTTTTTTCTTTTCTTTTTCAGTAGCAAAATGAAAAATCACTGTGAAACCCCTCCTTTATTTGCATCGTTTTGATGCTCTCAAAGGCGGCAATGCTAATGTAGCATAAGGAGAATTTTTAAATAGAAGCCCCACATTTGAAAACCCCATAATAAAGATAAAAGCAAAATAAGCACAGGGGTCCGAATGTAAAGGATGAGGCGAGCAAGACGATGCCGTGCTGGCAGAGTAATGAAGGCACTGGCTGGTAACAAGTTTTAATAGCGCATTAACGCAGAATTACTTTGGACTATCCACCCAAATAGCGATGACATCCACATAACCACCGAATGAATTCTGAATGATCGGTATTGTCGTAACGAGCACCAAATGAATTAATAATGACGGAACACTTRAGCTAAAAAATGTTGTCGTCCCTAATCCGTTGTCTTCTTTATGCTCGTCTCCATTCAGGTCTAGCAGCTACGGTCCTTGCTTTCACTTGTCTTTATATTCAAGAAGAAACGTATGTTTCCAGAGCCTCTGGAAGGGCTCTGCTTAGTCGCCGCGGTGGCAGCGCAGAGGTTTAGGAGATGGGCGGCAGGGCTCTGATTTACAACCACCGCAATAAAACCCATTTCTCCTCACTGGTCCCGCGTGCCCGAAGACCTCGGGATACCCTTGGAGAGGGCTCACTAACCCAAGCGACGCCCTTCAAGGGCCCTCGACACAAATCCTGCTTTCTTGGTTGTTGTTGTCGTTTATTCAGTGGATCTTTGTTTGCAGCAGCCCTCCTGCTGTGACCAAGCTGTTAACTGCAATGAAACCCAAATGAATTCAAGGCACCCAACGCAATAAAGCACTTGCATCCCAACCGCTGCGGGAGCCTCGAGGCCTGCTCTGCTCAGCACATCTCCATCCCCATCCTGAAGGGCTAAGACCCCCTGGGGACCCCGGTGGGAGGCCAGGCGCGCGCCCCGGGGCGGCCCCGCGCTGCCCGTACCCAGCAATCAGCACAGACCAGGAGCCTGCGGCTCTTAACAATCTGCCTTTATTGCTGTTAGAAAGCCAAGAGACCCAGGAACACGACCGGAGAGGGGGCCGGGCGAGCAGCATGCAATGGATTCACTGGAGGGCAAGCGTGGGGCGGGAGGCAAAGCGAGGAGCGTGGTGGAGCTCGCTGTGACAGGACGTCACCCATGCCTACAGGCCGGCCTTGATGGCCAACGGCCCTACCAAGGCAGCACACGGCACCACGCGTGGCCATGGAGCCGCCAGGGAGACCTTGCTGCGTGTTGGTGACAGGGACAAATAATCCCGACTTTGGTCATCGGTCCTTTGGGAAGGGGGCGGCTCAGTGCAGCGGGTGTGACGCGACACGAGTGACGTTGTCAATCGCACGCGGCCTTTCGGTGCAGCCCTGGTGTCTTCAAAAGTCACAGCGCAGGCCACCAGAACAGGGTCTTCTCAAGGAATGTGTTTTGGAGGCTCTCAGCTGGGAATAACGTGGCATCTCGGCCCTCGTGAGGATGTGACAAAACACATGCCCTTTATTTTCCTGAGGTGCAGCCAATATTCCTTTTATATTAAATGTGAGTCCCATCACATTTAATGGAGTTGGGTCCCCCCGAAAGTCATTCACAAGGTGTATTGGGAGTGGTTTTCACCCGCTCTTTGAAAAAATAAATTGTATCAGCATGCTCATGAGGTACAAACGGTGCTGACATTTCAGCTGTTATTAACTTTTTTAACCTAATCATTTTCAGTCAAGAGAAAGAAGCAATCTTTGCTCGCTCTGGTGCCCAGGAAGCAAAGCCTCTGCAACAGGTTTGCTTACGGTTCGCCTTGACAGTTGACTGATKCCCTCCCAAATGGGAACGTTACCCTGGCCCTCCCATGGTACTTGCTGAGAATTTCCATTTCCATCCCCTTCAGTTAGGACTGAAATTAGAAAGCAAAGATTTCCTAAGCTATGGGGGAGTGAATGATGATAGGGGAGAAGAAGGCTGATGAAATGTAGTTGACTCCGGGTCTGAAATATTTTATCCCTCCTCAATGAAGGTTAAATTATTCTTCACCTTTCCCACATCCATAATTGTCGCTGATCTTGGACCAACTCAAAACCCTACTACTGAGTTCAGTAGACTCAAAATTGCCACTAGAACTGGAAAAAGAAAAAAAAAAAGAGATTTGTTAGTGTCCACGTACAATATCCCAAGACTATACACAGCTATGAGATACAGCAAATTTAAGAAAGCCAATATTTTTCTCATCACTGAGTATTTATTATATATAACAAATACATGAAAAAGAAAAAACTATATTGTGTGATATAAATAGTTTATTTACATTACAGAAAAACATCAAGACAATGTATACTATTTCAAATATATCCATACATAATCAAATATAGCTGTAGTACATGTTCTCATTGGTGTAGATTACCACAAATGCAAGGCAACATGTGTAGATCTTGTCTTAATCTTTTGTCTATAATACTGTATTTTGTAGTCCAAGCTCTCTGCAGTTAGTTTTGCCATTGTGGAAACATGCGYTCTTTAAATTAACCTTGTCGATGCTCTTGTTGTGTTGTCTGAGCTGTAGTGCCCCGTGTTCTGCTTCTGTCTGTGGATTCTGTTGCTCCTGGGGCATTTCCTAGAATAAAAAAACAGAATTGCAAGAGGACGTGGTTCTTAACAGGTCTCCTCTTCCATGCAGAGAGCAAGCGAAGGATGGCAGCGCTATGAAGGGATCTTCCTGCCACTCATCAATGAAACAAGGAGAAGACCTGGCTAACGTCAAGRATGTTTTGTGCAACCCGCATCCCCCCAAAAAAAAAACCATCAGGAGAAAGTCAAGATCCTATGGTGAAACACACCACCGTTCACAGCTGCAGCTCAGAAGCACTTCCAGTTGCTCTTCAAGAGCCTCGCTTTGTGCACGCTGCGGGTGGCCGATGCAGGACTCACCTGCTGGGCTCCGTAAAGGTTTCCCGTGCAGCCCTGCCCAGGGCTACGCAGCTCCGATCCCTATCAGTTTCCATGGCAATGGTTGGCGCTGGGGTCATTAGCGAGCAGCGAGGCGCGGGCGGATGCCGGCCACGCTCCGCGCCCCGCTGCCCGGCGCTGCTTGCTTCAGAAAGCAACTGGGGGGGGGGATCCCAAAAAACAGGACAAATTTATTCAGATTAACGTGCCCATGGAGCAACGGCCCTGGGAGACATTGGCTGGTGCTACTAGGAGCTTCCAAGCTACGGAGGACACCATGAATAGTGGCACTATTACCACTGTGATTTTAATGGCAAGAACCACAATGATACATGAGCTCAAGGGATGGGGTTCAAAGCAGCAGGGATGGGTTCTCCAGATGTCCTCAAAACACTCAGTTACTCAGGCATGAGCCCTGTCCTGTCCCAGGGATTTTTCTTAGGCTGCTTCTGTGTGTACTTTTGCACACACATCCCTAATCATCACATGGATGCAATTATGTGCACTACAGGAAAAAAAAAGCCCCAAATCRTAAATAAACTTGGGAAAAGGTAAGAAAACAGTGCAATTTACATTAACATCTCAGTGATCTTAAAGAACAGGAGCTGAGCAAGAGGCTACCAGAGGCTCTACTTGTCTTCCAGCCACACAGTGCAACACAGGCATGGAAATTTCCTAGAGATTTTATTTTCTGTGGAAGTCTGATAGCTGGTTTTTATTTTCTTGAGGTCTTGAAAGCAGTTTATTTCCAAAAGAAGGGTTTATCAGTGCTGAGTGTGCCTAGCCTGTGATTTTTGAGAGAAGCCTGAAGAAGGTGGAATTCAGAAGCCTCTGCAGACAAAATCAGCTTAGCGGGGAAGGAGAGTGGCACTCGCAGGAGGGGAAGGACTGTGTTTATCCCCCTTATTCTCAACTACCTTGGGGCTGGCATTTCCACTGCAAATTTCCATTAAAAAACAACAAAAAAAAGCATACATGACTAGGTGTGCCATCATCCAGTGAAGGCCTTAAACRCAGGGTACCTTACAACATGTGTATATCTATATATACACACGTATATATATTACACACACACACTCAAGCCTAATGAAATCATTTAATCAATGGGAATGCAAACAGGCTTAACAGTTTGCATGCTTTGCCTGATTAGGGCTCTGGGAATCGCCCTTGAGGAAACTGGATGAAGATATAATTAGTTTTATTAAGCAAGTGCTGATCCAGCTGCTCTATGTATACTCCCCTTATTGAGATCAACAATATTTGTCCAAGCACCTGAATGCAGAAGAGGAAACTTCATTTGCAGCAGGTGTTGTTGCCACCTAAGTTTGATTAAACTGCAAGTGCAAATATAGTTATAATAATAAAGCAACTCTGGCTAGTAGGAGCAGACAATACTTTCTCCTTTATTTTTTTTTTGTGTGTGTGAACTAAATGGTATTTGTTATCAGCAGAAATATTTCTGTCACTGCAGAAACCTGTGTAAACAATTGGTAAAAGGAAAGAAAAACAAGAGAAAGCAGCCGAACAACTGACCTGGTAATACAGAGGACCACAACGCAGATGATAGCGATCTGGATCGTCCCAATCACGGCTGCTATTAAGACATACTGAAATCGAACAGGACCTGGAACCACGTATAAAACGCTGTAGTCTTTTTTTTCACAGTGTTGTCCAGTGTAGCCGGCATCACATCTGAAATGAAAAAACATTTGTTCCACTTACCTTCTAGCTATGCTTTGTTTTGTTTTTTTTTTTAAGAACTATGAAAGAAATGCTCGAGGGAGGTGATGAGCAGTCATCCGAGCTCCATATGCAGTGTGATTAGGCGTTCCCGCGAGTGGATGCATCATTTGCATTTAGCCTGGGTGCTACAGACCCCAACCCTCTGTGCATGGTGCATCTCCAGCAGCGCTGAGCTGCCTGCTCACTGCCTCCCCTTCCCGAGGCCACCGTGTCCCCTCTGCGACTGCCCCTCCTGGGGAGCCAAGAGCAGTGGCCCCACGTCAGCCCTTGTCTTGCTTCTGCTGGAAAGGCCAAGCGGGATGAAGCTGCAAGGTCCTTCAGGTCAACAGCAGCAGCAGCTGTAAGAGACGTAGCCAAATTGACTGGGTCTTCACTCAGAAGGGTCGGTGGCGTCACGGCCTTCAATATTCCATCCTTCATTCCTCCCCTCTTTGCCCTACAGGCATCACCCATGTCATGGGGAGGGACATGCTGCTTGGTGACATCTCACTGCTTCAGCCTACCTGGCTTGGCTTGGCGCTTTGTGCTTTCAGAACCACCTAACTTCACCTGCAGGTCAAGTGAGCGCTTTTAGAAGCCACCAACACTCTGCACGTGCAACACTTAGCAGCTGCAGGTGCAAAGCGGGAAAGGGAGAGGGTCACCTGCAAGACGGTTCCAGCATGTTGGTCGAGTGCTCGCACTTTCCGTGCATGCAGAAGCCGTTGTAGTGCTCTGGACAAGGGATATAGATGCCTCTCGCGCTCTCCTCCAGTTTATTCGCATTCTCTGTGGAGACAGGCGATAAGAACATTAACCTGGCAAAGCTTGGGAAAGGGAAGCAGCAGAAAGAGCTTTATTTTATTTTATTTTATTTTATTTTATTTTATTTTATTTTATTTTATTTTATTTTATT